GTGCGACTATTTTTTTAAAAAAAAATAATTTATAGTACCGCTCATGATGTTCCGAACGGTACGGTAAACGCCCAAGACGCGCAAATTTTAATTTCATGTTTGTGTTCCTATTCCGATTTTTTTCCGAGCTCTGTTCACAGTGGATGATGGCTAACAACATTACAACGGTATAGCATTACGCCTGCGCGTACTGAAATATATAACTGCGACGGAAATGAAAACATTGATAATAATAATAAATAAGAACGAGAGTATTACCAATACCCGCGGAAATAAACGTACGTCGAGGTGACGCTTACGGTTACAGCATTAAGTCGATTGGTCTGAAAAATATCGTCGAGCTGTACGAATATTGGATGAACTCGAGTTGGGATTGGTAAATTTCGAAAATAGCATGAATTGGGTCCCGGTATATTTTATGGAGTACATCAGTTGCTTATTAGCGTTACCCAGAAAACACTACGTTTGCCTAGAATGTTTCCCAAGTTAACGGTCCGATGTAAAAATTATTAAAATATTAATTAAAATTATTATTAAATTATCTTAACTTAAAATATTGTGTTTATTTCTTTTCATTGTAAATATTTTTATTATAATAAGTTTAAAAAACACGTATTTTACAAAATTTAACCAGGTTGTATTCTTCACTAATAAAACAAAGCATCTTTTCTCTTAAATATTTTCTTTTTCTGTTATTTTTTAGATTGGCAATGTGGCTAAGTTCCGGAGTGATACTTTAATTTCATTCTGAATACCAAATAAAATGTCTATTAACACAAAAACATTGAGGTGAGCTGCACTTATACTAGCATTTAATTTTGCATGAGAACTTTAAATATATAAAAGATGTTACCGCGGACCGAATTCGATATGTACCTATTATATGATTATCAAATACCATCGCGAATCTAATTTGAGTATTGTCGAGTGATACCGCGGACCTAACTTGCGTTTATTTTAAGTAATCAAATACCTCGGGACCCAACTCTCGTTTTCCCCTGATATCGACGAACAGTGACCGATTGCGAAAACTACACCAGCTGCGGAATGTTTGGTTCTTAAGGTGTCCGAAATCGGTGGTATACCATCGACATTCCGTTTACGCTAAATACATCGATATATAGTTCGGTTAGTAAACGTACTCGAACGGCGACGATAAGATATTGTTATTCAGCAACAAAAATTCCTGGGTTGATTCGCGAACGATACGTCGGAGCCGAGCGCGTTTCACACCGTCGAGCAAACGAGCCCGACTTCGGTTACGTGTCTTATGCGAGACCTATTGTTATCGAATCCACCGACGATGGTCGAAAGAAAAATATACATAAACACGTACCCGTCGGGTGTTAAGGATTTTAAATTAATTTACGTTTGGTGTACATTGCAGTATAAATACGTATGGTATACGTGTAATAGCGGGGCGTACAATTGTTAATTGAAAATGGCCATTACGAGAATATCTCCTCGGCCGACGACGACCACGGTCCGTTCCGAACAGAATGGATTTGGAGTGCGCGCAGCAGCACGTAACACAATGAATGCAATGTTACAATGCGACGTTTACCCTTCCTGTTGGACCGCGTTACAAACCTTCGTTTACCTGAAAATATTTTAAACCCGTTCATTATTTACGGTTAAGAATATATTCGTTTTCAGTATTCCGTATTGTCAGGCATTATATTATTTTGTACTTGAGGGGGGGGGGAAATAAGCAAAATTAATCAAATAAAAACCTTTTCTTTATTTCCTTTTTTTTTTCGTCTAAAATAATTACAACTACGTGCTGTACGAATAAACTGTAAATACGAATTATGTTGTTGCGTAATGATCACTGTTAAAATATAATCGATTTGATCGATGCGAATTGCCGATGTGCAAAAACAATTCAATTTAAACGCAGTGGCATTAATTTGGTCACCTATACGTATAGAATTACGTACCTCGTGTTGAATTCCTGCGCACCAATAATTGTAATACTAATTAAATACGTTCAGCAATTTTTTGCTCTACATTGAACCGTACGAATTATACCATGCATTTATATTGATAGTGTTTAAAAAATAAGCAATTATTCCGAGTAAAATAATAATTAGTTTTTTTTTTTATGTCTACAGATAACTAATGTCTGAAAACACATCACTTAATATTAATTAAAGCTTTAAAGGTGATAAAACGATGTCGGGAACAATCTGGTTTTGTAACGCTGCATACCATTTGTAAAACACGCCGAATTCTTTGGAACAAAAATAAATAACATAATACGCGTAATATCTTAGACGAAACGTACAATAATGGTGTAACGGAGAATGCGAGAAAGTCGTACGTTGAACAGCCACAATTTGGATAATTGGTTTTTACCTAACACAACCGACCAGTCCGGTATTTTAATTAAAACAATAATTGTATGCTCCAATAAAAGCGAACGAAGTGAAAAGTAAGAAAAAAAAATACATTTTGCTTTTGAATTTTTTAAAAAAAAAAATTAAAAAATTAGTTTCCCACCCAATTGACTTTTTCCGTGTTTAATTATGGTACACGTATACTGTGTTTTTTCGGTTTATACTCAAAAGCTATTATTGGAATCGCAGTGACGTAACGAACTGTATAACGATAAGCATGTATGTATGCTAGTGTGAGTGCGTGTAGGGCGAGGGAGGGGGTTGAATTGTTCAGAGGCCTATAAAGCGATGGCGAATATGTTTATAATTTCATTCGCAGTCTGCGTTTGACTCCTGTGAAAAGTAATTTGAACAAGAATCGAAAGTCCTTATTTGCATACGATTTTGTGTCTCGAACATATTGAAGGGGTGTTCCACGCATATTTTTACATCACGCGTGCCGATAAATGCAGCAGATTTTCGTTTTTTCAACAAGTTTTTCCGATCCTAATCGTCTGGACCCGAGGGTTTAAAAATGTGCGATCTACACAATGCGTACGATACGAAACACATTAATCCGATAATGCATTCTCGACGAGCGAATTCCGAACTCTGATTTTATTCTGGTGTTCTCCCGTAACTGTCTTTATCGTACACCGTGTCCATCCGAAGGAATTTGCCGTGTGTTACACGAAAAACGTATCTGCACACGGTCAAAGTCTTCGGTGACAGTGGAAGTGCTGACGTCACACCGTGTCGACGCGCTGTTGCGCCATTCCGGTATAGCACCCACGCGCCCTTTGCACCCTGTCGAAAGATCGTCCTGGCCACCGATTCCGGTCCGCCGCTAAAATCTCCGACGCCCGTAGGGCTGGCGCGGGACTGGTGGCAGAACGATAAACAGGGTGAGGGGTGACCCACGTGCCAACGTTTCGGTTGAACTTACGATGTGCACACTGTTGATTTCCGCGCGCATTGACTGGAACATACGGTTTTCCGACGACGACAGTTTTTTACACCTCGCAGCTGCACGAAACACTCAAGCAGTGTTTCCCAAACTTTTTCCCTGCCTTAGAAATAATAAAGACAATCGCGGACTCCTCGATAAAAAACAATAATAAATAATGGTTAGTGGTGGATCCAGGATTTTCTTTTGGGGGGGTTTTGAGAAATGTTTTCCCTTGGAATATATTTTTTATAACATTGCAGTCAGTGATTGATAATGAATTGAGATAATAGTAAGGTATTATAATATATTAATTTAAATCTAAGATCATTAATTTCTTGTATGAATAAAAATACAAATTATATATTTTCCCTTCATACTTGAAAAAAAAAACCTTTTTTTCAATTCATAAAATTATTGATTTTTAATAAATATTTTTCTTGATTAGGGGGGTTAACAACCATCCCCGTGGACCCGCCACTGATAACAGTACTAAATCGATCGTTTTATTTTCCGAACCGAACGCACATATTTTTGTAGGCAGGTTAACTTTGTGTACGTTTGATTTGCGTTCGCGGACCAGAATTTGGGAAACGGTACCGGCCGACGAGGTCTGTCAACGTAATGGCGACGCCGCGGTTCGGAAGTCGGGTCGAGCGATTCGCCCGGTCCGCGCGAAACGATTCGTTCGGGAGCGGAACCTTCGGGAAAAACCCCGTTTCGCGTCGAACGGACCGAACGACACCCGTTTGTGGCAACACGCACCGCAAATCGAATCGGACGGAAACGCGCGTCGAAACGTACGCGCGTTGCGTTCCGCGGCCCACACCGGATCCGGTCGGCGGAGGAATTTTTT